CAATTAGCTTCTGATATTAAATACATCACATTCATCTTTACGTTTGATTTAAATCGTCAAAGGCAAGAAATTGTGCTGCCAGCAGTGGCTGGTTAGTGTGCTCATTAGTCAAGGTGTAAAGACAAGCAGTTTGACATCCAGTCATGCCAGCATTCACACTTAAATGAGAGCTTAGAAGACAGTCACCTCCTCTTCCTGCTCCGCTCTCTCGTCTCTCTCTGGGCCAATCAGAAACTCATTCTGCTGGAGGACTGAGAAAGCATGAAGATGGTGGACGGCTCCACAGTAAGGCACGGGCGGGTAGACTGTGGTTACCACGAAAGGGCGGGAGAGCACAGCGTGTCACAACCGCACAGAGAAGAGAGGGGAAAAAAGGAGGATGATTTGGAAAGGTGAGAAGAGAAGAAAGCAGTAGATAAAAAGGCAGGATGGGGTGAAGGACGATTGAAAGGAGCAACAGGGAATGTGTCAATATGGATGAAGGGGATCCATAAAGTGAAGTGAGAAATGTAGAGAGGGGGGAGATGGAGAGAAAAGAGCACAGCAGGAAGAAATCAGTCAGACCTCTCACTGGATTTTTTAATTCCTTTCCTTTCATGGTAAAGCTTGCTTCAAAGGAGGGTAAAGCTAAGCTACTGGGAAGAGTAAGACAGAGTAAATCCAGCTGGTGCTTAAAGCTATTAAACACATTGCCCGTCTTCCTGGATGATTAATAAGGAGGGGGAGATGATGATTTCTACTTAGTTTGTCAAAGGAAGTAAACTTTCAATTCCATTAGAAACTAAAAGCTTAATTAGTCATGTGTTAATAGCTTTAGTAATGAATCATATTTACACTATAAAACTCAAATAGAATAACATTTTGGATTCAGTTAAAGGTAAAAGAATAAATATTTCTTTATAGGGGTCCTACCTGTGCACGCTCAGTAGCTGTTGGGCAAATGGCCCTGCAGAGGACCTTCTTGATGACATCTGGCAGCAGGCTGACAGTAATAAGAAGGATGATGCTGAGCCATGCTGGACCACTGGACAACATCTGCATAAACACGTAGTACATCCTCTGGTAGTTCAGGAAGGGCCTGAGTAGCATGAGAAATACAAAAACAATTATCCCTAAACAGAGTCTGTCTGCAAGGACAACACTGAATGAGGTCGAGTGACGGCCTTACCAAATGATGCCGCCCCAGAGAAGAGAAAAAATGACGTAGAAAAGCAGGGAGCCCCAGATGACAAAGTGGTTGATCCAAGTCCAGTGACGTGTGTCCAGGGCAAGCTGGACCACAGAGAACAGAAGCATTGAAAGTTAAGTAAATGCTATCAGGAAAACCTGTTTAAATAGGTTGTTTCTAATCTTTTAAAGTGCTCTTGTTAGCACCGGATTATATTTGAGCAGAATCTGAATCTTACAGGAGCATAAAAATGGAGGTGCCTCTGTGATAGGCTGCTTTTATCAGAGGCTTCAGTTGTTATTGGTTACCGGCTAAGCTGTCTGTAGATAAACTGGTTCACTACCTACATTAGGAAGCTTCTTTTTACATCTGAGTGTTTCTAACAAAAAAAAAAAAAACTATTGTTCCTCTAATTGTGTTACGGTACCAAGCTAAATAATGAAGGAAAAAACATAGCTAAAATCAATATGAGGCATAAATAAACATTTAGTAATCCTTTAGCAATACTGATCATGATTTCATTTAAAGATTACAAAAAGGTTTATTGTTATACAAAGAAGATATTCAGCTGACTTAAGTATTTTGCAGAGGAGTCAGCATCAACTGCTATTAACCCTTGAGCCCAACAGGCCCGGTATTGGGCCCATCTGACATGTGCACATGTTGATCTATTTACAGAAATAGCCAAAACACTGTCATGTGGCGTTTCATCCACATGCCTTTCAAAATGGGGCTCTAAAATTTCTAAAACATGTTTAAAAATTATTTTTTCCAACAATAATTTTTGTTTTATAGCTGTGTACAAAAATAAAATGAGATTTAAAATTCCACCTGACATGTCTGACTCTGCCGGTGTAATGCAACATCAGGTATTCATTTTTGGCCACGACCCCTAATGGGTGGCATAATATGTGTGCTTCATTGTTTCGCTCTTTTGTCTGTCTGAATCCCTTACCATCGCAGCGCCATGTTTTTTAAATGTAAACAGTTGTTTCAGCTTGTTAGATCAAAAGCGACTGGTGTTGTGTGTTGATGTCCGCAAATAGCATTCAATGTTATCACTTAATTTAGCAGGGCAACCCGGCTCTGGTGTTCCCACTGCATGCCAGGTTCAAACAGGTTTTTCACCAGTGGGAAAGAGGCCTAAGTAACATTTGGCAACTGAACCTCTGGTCATCACTGTATCTGAAAACAAAGGCAAATATAAGCATCCCCACCCTGTAGCCCTCCACCCTTCCTACATAAAACATCTCTATGTTGGACCTCAGGCTGACATGTCTTCTCATATCTTCTCTATTATGCTATAACCTAACTCTCCTTATCACAGCCTGTTCTGCTCTAGTCACTTCTAAGCTTTTGATGATAACAGTTCTGTCGCACTACTTCCCCTAAATATACTTATCAGAGATTTTGCTGCACCTGCTTCCTTCCCTCCGTAATAATTTTGATAGAAGACATGATGTGACTCGGAGTCCTGTCACATCAAAGTTTGATAACATGAAAATTTTATAACTTTTTTAAATAGTAAAGGGAGGGGCAGAGACTGAGGCCTGAGCTGAGGAGGACAGAGAGAGTTTTGAAAAAGAAAAAAAAACAAAAAACAGGCTGTGTTTAGGGTCTCATATAGCCAACTATTAAGATACATAATTTTATCTGCACAGGGATTTTATGAGTTAAAACTGGCTGGCAATCCTATCTGTTTGTATGTATATAAGAAAAATACAACAAAGTTGGATGGTGGCCTGATGGTTAGAGCATTGCACATGGGTTACGGAGGTTCTGAGTTTAAGTCCAGATTGCTCCCCAGGTGCCGCACAATGGCAGCCCACTGCTCCCCAAGAGGATGGGTTCAATGCAGAGAATGAATTTCCACATTGTGGGACAATAAAGGGATTTACATTTACATTTTAACCGCGTCCATTTTTTTTAACACGTTAAAATGCTTCTAATTACTTTATCCAAATTAACGTTTTTAAGTCTCAGCCCTAGTTTATACTAAATTATTTTCTGCACTGGATTTTCTTCATTTTTTATTTGCACACCAGTTACTCAATCGCTCACACCAACCTTGAGTGTTACGGTAAAAACCAGAACAGTAAAGATGAGAGTCCCAAACGTCCAGTTTCCAAACATCTGAAGGAAAAAAAAAAAAAGAGGATGGTTAGTGGCCAAACAAAAAAAAAGTTAATCCTCTGTCTTTAGTTGCACAGATATAGGTATAGAACTCATTTATGTATTTTTCTACAGTTGGATGGACTGTTTATTAAAGAAAAAAAATCTATATTAAAATACAATTTTAGAGCACTGACATATTGCTACTGCTAAAATCCTAGAAAGGTTTAGGCAGACATCAGGAGTTAACATATGGGATGGGGGAATGAGAGAGGGGAGGAGGGTGGGAAAACAAGGCAAAGACGAAGATTTATATAACAGCTGACACCAAAAAAAAAAAAACAACTAGAATTCCTGCATCCATCCATTGCTATAACCTATTCTAAATAGTGAAATATTAATAAAAAAGACAGAAACAAACAAGTAAGCACAAAAACAAAGACAGTAGACAGAAAAAAAAAACACAAGACAAATGTTGGATCTAAATAGGAGCACATATTAAATTCTCTAAAGACGGGGAAAATGTTGAGGAGCTTCTAAGATTTCTACCATGTCAGCAGAAGGGGCTAAGATCAGCTACGGTGCAGGATTCAGAGCGGGAATGTAAGCACTAGGAATCTACACATCCAAATGGGAGTGCATGGATTTACATGGAGTGAGGATGAACTGAAAGAATAAACGATACGACAGGAACTGAAAAAAGAAGACAGAGAGAGCTGACAGGGGAGGGAGACAGGCTTACCATCTGTGTGTTGGTGGTCATAAGCTGAAGAAGAAGAATAAGAGGGGGAGGAGGAGGAGCAAAATAAAGAGCGAGGAAGCAGAGAAAAAGAGGGGAGGAAGAAAAGAGAAAAGAATCAGGACAAAGGGTAAAATGAATTTCAGGATGTTCAAACTTAAAAACAAAGAAAAACAAAAACAAAAAAAAAAAACAGGACCAAAGGCAATCAAAAACAGTTGACATGATCCAAAATAACGGTACAGAGAAAGATGCTATTGTGTTGTCGATATGAATGGAGCTCCAATGTTCTGGGATATATAAACTTTCCTGGTACAGAACCAGACAAAACACCACCACAATGTCAAGTCGCTGCACCTAAAAAAAACACAAAAAAAAAACGCCACGGAAGAGCATTCGGTGAAGATGAGTGAGGGTTCATGGTGACTTCGTAAAACATCCTCCAACTGATGCCTTAGACGCCAAACCGAATGTTATCCTATTGTTCTGTCTTTTTTTATTTTTTATTAAGCAGATATAGAAGCTCACCTGGCCATTGCTGGTGAAGGTGGTGTTGTCGAACAGGAAGTAGGCGCCAAAGAAGAAGATGACTGCGTCGAACACGCCCAGGCAAGTCCAGTACAGGAAAACCGGCCAGCGGAGGAGAGAGTTCTTCGCAATATCCCTGAAACAAACAGAGAGGCTTCCTTAGAGCGGCAGTAAAAAGATTAAAAGGACACAACTTAGGACATCAAACTAATCAAAGACAGACACCTGTACAGAGAGGGGTCCCTCTTCAGAGCATCGATGGTCACATGTTGCTCAACCAGGCTGTACAAGAGGATGGGGAGGGAGGTAAAGCTGATGTTGTACAGCGTCAAATACGCCGTATCGTAAAGAGGCTGCAAAGGGAAGAAGAGTTTGTTTCCATTTAAAACAGGAACTGATTTTTGTACCTTAACAGCCTTAAAATGAAACAAGCATAAAGTAATCATACAGAATGTGGGTTTTATTAGTGAGATAAGTCAGCTTTCTTTACATAAACACGATAAATGACGTAGACACAGCTCAGAGGTTGACTCTTTAGGTACAAGAAGCAATCAGATTTTTTCTTTAAAGAGTGGAAATGGGACAAACCGTAGAGACAAGTATGTAAAAATGTTTGCAAACACTTTGGTCCCAAAAACCGTCTGAGTTGCATTAAGGCAAAGAACACTTAGACTAGTGGGATAACAAGGGTAAACACCCAGGACTTCAATCACTCTATATATTTATTTTACATGATTTTTTGATTTTCTTGTCAATTATGCTTATTTTGTTAAGTGATGCGACTTCTGCTTAAGAAAGGGTCATGTGACTAACCCTTTTTTGATAAAAGAGGCATGTAAAAATGAACATAATCAGATACTTAAAGGCCTCGCTCACCTTGACCAAAAGGCATCTTGATGAAAATGATATGTGTACTGATGAGACACAAAGTGGATCTTTTTGGAAAATGTCTTCCTGTCACATCCAATTTGAAGCTAACCCAGTATTTTAGAAAAAATAAAAAATCAAACCATGCTGACAGTCAGATAAAGGTGGTAGTGTGATGATCTGCGCCTGCTTTGCTACTTCAGCACATGGAAAACTTCCCATCAATTGTTCTCCACCACAAGATCTAAAAGGAGAATTCCAAGCAAGTATTTCTCTTTGGGCTCAAGTGGTAAAATAAGCTAAAGCACAGCAACAAGTCCACCTCTGACCGCGGGGAAAGAAACAACACCTAACTGAAGATTTTTTAAACTCAAAATCCATCCCTGAGGTTAAATCCAACTTTAATGCTGTTGCATGCCCTCAAACAACTAGCTCATACCCAAAATCCCTAAAATTTGGCTGAACTAAAGCAATCCTGCAAAGAAGATATGAGACTTAATAACAGTTGCTGCCACAAGGTGGCACAACTAATTATTAGGTGTGGCTTTTAATTACTGTTTGATGTTATACCAGGTTGGTTTGGACAGATCCTATTATTTGAAAAATGTTTTTTTTTTTTTTATTTTGTTTATTTTTGTCAGATATTAAAATTAACTTGATAATCTGAAAGATTTTAGTTTGAGAAAATAAGCATGAAGGGTGGGAATCTTTAGCAGGACGAACACTTTTTACAAGTCAGCATATAATAAATACATCCTCAGGTTCTCCATTTCATCAACAATTAGGAACTACATTTACTGATTCTAACAAATAATTTATAAGCTCTTAAAGTGCATAACAATATAAAGGACTTTTTTAGTCCTTTATATTGTTATGTTGGATGAAAATGGTTACAGAAGTCAATTTGAACCACAGTTTTCTAAGCGCAAAATTGCAGCTGGTGAGAAGTTTTATGATTATGTGCAGACTGTGTTATCTGATTTAGTGAAGCTTTTTGTTGAAAACTCAGCTTGATGGTCCAGAAACGGCAGAATAATGAGGCAAATGCGGAAAAATCAAGAAAAGGAGACATTTTTTTTTTTGCATCTTCTGTATAGGACACATTTTAAACAAAATAGGATTCAATCTTTGGAAATACATTTTTTTTTATCCAACAAAGTATAAAGTACCTACCTGCTGGGAAAACCCACAGAAGAACTGATAGAGGAACTGAGGGAAGATGAAGCATACATTCTGCAATGATTTAAGAGGAGAAGGGAAGAAAAAAAAAATGTGAAAAACCACTGACAAATGAAACAAACCAAAAGTCTAAAAATGCAACTAGCTACACATTTCTGTTTATGTAGAGACTGCACCCTATGTGCTCACTGAGTGGGCTGCAAAGAGGTAAGGATGCCAAACGGGAAAAAAAAGCAACAAAAAACTGAGTCAGTTGGTAGGACAATGGATGCTGTGCAAGCCACCCACACTCCTCATTGTTCCCGTGAATTCAGCAGACTGTTGCACATTACAAAAATCCACTAATCTGTGCTTTATATAGCTTTTCTATTGAAACAACAATAGAATGATCAATATTCACGGGCCTCTGGTGAACACAAAACATTCCTTACCTTGTAGAAGAAGTACTGAACAAGCTCGGCGATTCGGATGTAGTAGTAGTGGCCGTGGACCAGCAGCATCTTCTTTAGGTGTTTAAATTTGGGGATGGCATAGTCACTGTTTCTAGCTGCCTGTCGGCCTTCTTTCCCCATGATGCCTGGGGGGAAAAAAAAAAACAGTTTAGCAGCATCTCCAATGCTATCTCAGGAAACTGAGGGATAATAGTGCTTTGGTAATGGTTATTATCAAAATAATCACATTTGGGTTAAATACACATTTTCCTCCCTCATCTGTTTCTCATCATTTTAATACTTCCAACTTCCTTTCTCTGGCAAGAATCTACTATTGAAAAATGGGTACCTGATACAGTTATTGCATCGAAACGGCAGGAAAAACTGCTGACATGTCATTGGGAGTTTCTGACATCATGAAGTTAATTTGCCCTTAATTAAGTAAACAAGATGATCTACCAATGGAATTAGTTTTTACAACCTTGAACTAAGATAAGATATTATGCACTTGGAGATAATGGATTTTTTTTTTTGTTATATTAAACATAAATTGGTCTTATTCCATTGGCAAATTGTCTAATTTACGGTACCTGGAAAAACAAGGGGAAATACAGCATTTTTTTTAAATCAAGAAAAACTGGCTTACTTATGCAGTTTCTAACAGCCAAAGATTAGATCATTCCAAAAAATCTGTTATAATAGTAATAATCTGCAGTGCGAGCACACATTGGGTATAAACGTACAGCTATATCAAGCCAAATTTTCTTTTGTTAGATATCTATATTTTCTTAAAGCTTCGTAAGTCACTGCAAATGGTCATGATTTAAATGTTCAACCTTTAGATACCAGAAACTACACTCCAAAAAAGGGCTCTTTTTTATATTGGTAAGAATTTGCACTGTAAGAAAGCTATAAGGATGGATGGCCAAACAGATTTAGGATGGAAGGAGAAACAGATGAATAGATGGACAGATTGACAGACAGGAGGATGTATAGGCAAAAAGATGAAAGAATGAACAGAAACCTATAATTGGAGGGAAGTATGGAAAGCAAATATTGTTTCATGTTGCACACATGATTGAGAACATTGTGATTGAAGGAAGCAGCTGAACTAACCGATGCCAACATGTGCTTCTAAGATCATGCTGACGTCGTTGGCTCCATCGCCAATAGCCAGGGTGATGGGATGTTCCTTAGAAGATTTTATTAGCTTCACAATCTGACAAGAAAAAAACATTTTATGCCAAATGAAAGAGTTTTTTAGCTAGAATCTAATGAGCAGGTGAGAAAAGAAATAAGGAGGTAAGGAAAGCTTACCTGAGCTTTCTGCAGCGGCGCCATACGACAGCAGAGAACAGCACTACAGTTGCGACATATTTCGAGAAAGATCTCTCTGTAGTTCCCATGGCCGGAAACCTCTTGGCTGGGTTTTAATACCGCAGAGAGAGTTGCCCCGTCGATAATCAGGCCGAAGTCGAGGCAGTCTACAGACAATCTGGAAAAAGACACAAGACAAAAAGCTTTCAGAGATCCATCTACATAAGAAGCCAACCAGTTGCCTAGAGCGCAATCTCCCTTAGAAAGGTCCCTACCCAGACATGGAGCGCTGCCTAATAACGGTCCTGTTCAGCTCAAACAGAACGTCATGCAGGCTCTGCTCTTTGGTGCGTTTCTTGGTCAGCTCCAGAATCTGAGTGCTGCGACGGAAAAGCTTGCTGGCGTAGCACGTGGCGGCGGCTGTCTCCATCTTGTCTCCCGTTAGGACCCAGACTTTGATGCCGGCCTTGTGCAGCGACTCGATGGTGTCCGCAGCTTTCTCCTGCAGCCTGTTCATCAATAAGTTGACAGGTGTTTTTAGGGGTCTACTGGGCTGGAGAGAGCTATCAGTCAAAGCTTTAGTTCATCCATTGCCAACGGGTGATAAGTTTTCAAACACAGATTATCCGTTAGGAAATTAAACTGTCAGTCATTTGATCAATCAAACGGGGTAAGGCTGAGCTCTATTGGTGCAAAAAATAGCTATTAATTTCATAATCCTGAGAAAATTAAATCAATTCTGGCTCTACTGAGACGTCACAATGAACATTTTATTGCTGCCTTGATTCAAAACAATGGTCTAAATTTGGTGTTAAGCTTTAGAAATCCTCTCTTTTGTCTCCTTGCTGCACCACTTCTAAAGCGTTCCCTTCCTCTCCTCCTGCATTGACCAACCTGTCCTCCACCGCTGTAGCACCCAGGAGGACTAAATCCCTCTCGATGACGTCATAGGCCTGGGCCAGCCTATGCTCCCTGTCCTGCAGGGCCAGCTTGGCTTCGGTCAGGTAATGACACGCCTCCAGGTACTCAGACTCTGACAGCCTCCGGTAGGCGACGCAGAGAGTCCGCAGTCCCTCCTGTTTTCACAGCGGTGAGAGATTGGCGGAGAGGAATGAATAGATTATTGATATTATGCAAAGTGAAGTTTAAAGCACATCCATTCTTGCTTTAAAGATCAGACCAAACAAAGGAGCTCTAGTTGCGCCTTTCCTGGGGTCTTTGTTCCTTTTAGTCCTCTGCCATTTATGGAGAAAACATAATTACTGCATTTTCTGTCCATCCTCACTCAATGATAAAAAGCTTTCTCTCTCTCTCTCCTTTACTGCAGGTCGATCTTAAAAATTGGCACATGTTTCAAGATGCTCTGCAGACTCTGATTTCTGGGTCATAGACAAGTGGAGGGAAGCAGAATGTTAAAGAGGCCTGCTTGTACATATGGACCGATATAGTAGGTCTCTATTCACATATCTTCTTCCCAAAATACACCCTGGTCAATCAGATAGGATAACGATTAACTGTAGGAACCAGTTCTCAATCGGAATTAGGTCTGACCTTTAACTTAAAACACATAAAAAACACTTTGATTCAAATCATCCCATCATAGCTCTGACTGGGCATTCAGGGAAAATCTCCTGCTTCCTTCAGGTTTACGGATTAAATGTGTAAATTTGCTATTTTGATTTAGTGCCCTTCTGATAATAAAGGTGAGACTATGTGTGTAAAGGAGTGCATGCATCTAATGTTCACTCACAACAGCGTTCTGCTCCACGTGGGCTTTAACTTGCTCCACCTTTCCGGATACTACTCGAGGGAAAATAGATGAGTCTGCACCTTTACAGAACAGCAGGTATTCTCCTGAGAACACACACAGGGAACAGAGAGCCAAACACACTGTTAGCACACTGCAGCCGCCGTCTATTATCCAATTTATTAAAGATATAAATGAAGCCTGTGTGGTTTGTGTTTGTGTGTATGGTCAGCTCACCTGAAATAGACTTTACTATGACGCTCATTCTCCTCCTGACGGAGTCGAAGTTCAGCACATGGAGCAGCTCAAACCTGAAGAACGGACAGTTCAATGTTTTTTATTCGATGATAGAAGACAAACTTTCTCCTTCCACGCTGTCCCTTTTTAGACTGCACCCTGGCTATTTTTGCAACATATTCACCTCTGGGTACACACTGTACTTCTATTTCTGACAGTTTGCTCTGCTGTTTTCCACTGCAAAAGCATATCAGTAAAACCACAATAGTTATTTCAGAGGTGGGCTTTGTTTTAACAATGACTTCACACGACTTTTGTTTTCTCATTTAAAGCAGAAAATGGACTTCACATGTTCCTTTAGAAAACACGTGAAATCCCAAAACTTCTTAATGCAGTCAAGCAAACCAGATATGTTGAACCTTTATAAAAACATGTTGCATTTTAATGAGGCTCCACTGAGGGGTAAACACAGTAAATCAATGAGGTCTGAATCTGAATGCCTTCTTTCTCCAGCTTCCTTAAAAATAGCTCAGTATATCGACAGGCCCCCGCTGACAGTGATGTACAGCCAGGCTGCTCACACACACCCAATGGATCAAATCTCAGAATATCCATAAAACCTCTCTGGAACTGAACCCTGCTTCCATTCATTAACAGTTTTGATCAAATTGAGCAGGCTTTCCAAGGTCCCAAACCTTTTTTTTTTTTTGGTAACACAAGCTGAGAGCTAATTCCCTTCAGTCAGATAATGTATGAACACATCTCCATCAGCTGGATTAATCCTGTTTTATCGCTGGCGGTGTACAGTAACACCTATTAAACCGACCTTTCGATCTCGTCGTCTTTGTTGAGGATCTCCATGTAGTTGTCCTTCAGTCTCAGGTAGGTGTACCCCAGCCTGGCAGTGACAGCAGAGGGGGAATGATTAATTAGGAGCAGGAGAGAAAGCGGTCGCAAACAAGTACCAGGTGCCTTTTAGAGGCGGTGAGACTGAAGATACCGTAAAGCATGTTATGAAGTCTGGTTACTCTTTAGTTACTTTGCCTTTGCACCATTTGGGAAAGCCATTTACTATTCCGCTTAAGAAAACAGATCAATCAGTTGATTTCTTTGTTTGACATCATTAAAAATACCCACAATAAACCAGGAAACATATCAGAAAGACGTCTGGTTTATCCTTGACTTCAACTTTTAGACGCCTGGAGGTGCCACATTTATCTTTCTTAAGACTTTTCAAGACCTCAAAGATGCAGGAACATTATTCCCAGCCTCCCTAGTGGGGACTTAAAATAGATGGCAACATTGGGAAGGAAAGTTATCTGAAAATATTACAGCTACATCTGAAGTTTGAGTGTACATGGGTTTAAAAAATGGTTATAGTGGGAATTATATCAAGGTGGCAAACGACAGGAAAGGTTTAACCTGATGAAATGCCAAACAGCTATAGACATAGAATTAAAAAAAGGTAAATCGTTTAATAGTGTTTGTGTTTACAGCTCTGGTTTAAACTTTAGCTGCTCCTTTTTAAAAGATGCAAACCTTTGTGACGTTTGTTAAAGATTTAATAAAGTTTGTGATAGACGGGCACTTCTAAAAGGTGAAAAGGATCAGATGTACAATCCTCTCTTTGAAAGGACAAATCCATATCAGGTTTGTACAATACAGTAATGACTTTCCTGCCTATTCTTCAGCAAAACTGATCCTCATAATCCATTCCTATAAATGAAAATGGCAACTTTGCAATACAGTGTTTTTAAAATTTTACATGCAATACATTTTCCATAACAAATAAAGAATAGTCCATTAAAAAAATGACTCCAATAACTTTGATTTAAGTTTGCTAAAATTGCCCTCGTATTACCTTTTCATTCCTTCCACCAGAGCCACTTCATCTGGGGACGAGGAAATGTAGAAGGAAGTAGGCTTTCCCTGATGAATGCCCCTTTTGATGCCATCCACCGTCTCCTCCTCCTTCACCTGCACCGTGTGACACAGACACAGTGCCCGGAAAAATAGATCCTCGTACTCCTGCAGACACGCAGGTAAGAAAATAAATGAAAAAAGTCTCTACTTATAACACACAAGATCCATTCAGCACTCTGGTAACATATTTCTTATTTCACTGGGATACTTTTTAGTTTTGTGACAATTTCTGCAGATTCTTCTGGAAACTTGGTTCTAAAGAACTACACACGCTTTTATTTGATCAAATATATATTATATTTTCACACTGATGGACATCATTTCTTAATTAAAACTTTCATACCATTTGAACTCTATCACACTGCAACCCTAAATTTCAATGTATTTTATTTTATATTGTTTGAGAGTCCGATATAAAAAAAAGTGCGCTATTGTAAAAGAAAATAGTATAAATGTATTTTTTCTTTTAATATTCTTTCTTTTTTGCTCAATAAGGCCATTCCTATTGACTTCCCTGTTTTTTCAAGAAGGTGATCTGTGAAACAGTGATCACGTTTTTCTTTTTACCAACATGCAAAGTGTTTTGTTTGGTCAAAGGCTGGTCAAGACCACTGCACAGCACCTTGAACATCCTGTCAATACAGAAATGCATGGTGACAGCACTGTCATGATGTGAGTGCTTTTTCTCAGCAGGGATAGGAAAACTAAAAGGAGCTAAGGAGATGATGGATCAAATTAAAGGGGAATACTGAAGGAAAACTAATAGTAGCTGCAAAAGATTTCAAACTGATGTAGAGGTTCACCATCCAGAAAGACGACAACCTTTAAATGCAGCCAGTTTATATATATCCTTATTCATATGCTTTAATGGTGCCGTTAAAGTCCTGTTCATGTTGAGATCACGAACACCAAATCCAATCTGACTAAGGCTGAACTAATTTACAAAGAAGTGGAAAATATTTCAGTCTACAGATGCGCAAAGCTACTGAACATATACCTGAAAATACTGGAACAGCATTAAAAGACTGTTCTACAAAATAAATGACTCATGGGCACGTATATCCACTACAGGGGATACTCTTTTTAGATTGTATTTATTAAGAAAATCAGAGAAACCGTGCATCCTCCCAACTGTTTTAATTCTGTCACATAAAATTGTATTTTCTTTTAAGCATATGAACAAACTTACTCTCCTGTATCCTCCAGGCGAGGAGTCGATCATGTCGATGCTAGAGGCAGCACTGAGGATTTGGCCATTACAGATCGCATGTGGGATGTAGACATTGCCATCCACGCAGCATTCAATAAACTCCATGTTGTTCTCAGTCAGGGTGCCAGTCTTATCGGTAAACACATACTCCACCTTGAAGACAGTCAAAGGAGCAGCACGTTTACAGAAAGATTATCTATGCAAATGCATTTGCTTGTGTGTGTCCAGAGACGTGCCTGTCCCAGCTCTTCGTTCAGGTCCGAGGTGTTCACCTGGGCTCCCTGGCCCAGCTCTTCATCAAACATCTCCTCATCCCAGGTGATGAAATATGAGCCAAGAAACTTCTGCATCTCCACAGTGACATACATGGACACAGGGATGATGTAATTGAACAAGACCATGAAAGCCAGGAAGTCTGTAAAGGCTCGGATCACCTGGGAAATGAAAGACAGGAATAACAAACATGTGGCTTTAGATGAGTTATATCAGCTAGCTGCTGAAGTGTGGGGAGTTTGGGACAGACCACGTGGCGCTGGCGCTCATTCTCAGTCCTGTGGTTGTACCAGGGTTCATCCCGGTCAGGCAACCACTGCCAGGCATACTTCAGGACAGTGTTGATCAAAGCTTTACTGATCAAGATGCACAAGTACACAATCAGGAAGGCGTTCATCGACCTGCAGAGTGATGGAGTGAAGAGGGGTCAGTGACGTGGGGCTGGGAACTAAACCACTCCCCAAAGACACAATCTAAATCAAGGCCTCCATCGTTAATCTTACTTCTCAACAGCAGAGCGCTTCTGAGATTTAGACTGGTAATTAAGAGCCATCTTGGTCTCCATGCCAGTGTACACTGCAACAGCTAAAGAGTAGAAAACAGGATTTAAAGAAACAGATGTTTGCTACAAATTATACATTAGATGCCTAAATGTTATTATATTACCATAAATATGTTTTGTGTTCTTCAATGTGGCCCCTCTAAGTAGTAAATTCTCAGCTCCCAGTGTTCTACAAGAGATATACATGATTTAGAAAAAATAAAAACACAACAAAAGGGCTTCAATTTTAAACAGTAGCCATTCGTACGACAGTTTGTAATCTCCTGGAGCTTAGAGATAACTGCACATTAACCAAATTTCCAGAACCTTCTCAGAACTTATCAAGTGTTATTTCAAGGTTTTCCAGGCTTCTGAAAACCTAGATGCCTCCCAGAACTTTCTTTTTCTTTCTACAGAAGTTACTGGAATTGACAGCTCAAAGGCTCGTCATAACACAGTGAGTATTCTTTAAATACCCGGATAGTTCCATGAAGGTAACCTAGAAAGGTACAGAAAAGTACTTGGGAATTTCCCAATGTGTTCTGGAAGCTACTTGGTAAGTTGAGCCACCCTAAAACTAACCAATATATTCCAAGAAAGGAATGAGAAACTTTGTAAAGTTTTAGGAAAGTAATATCAATGTCTCTGATAGTACTTTATAAGTTCTCTGAAGGTTCTTTTGAAGTGAGGGAAAACACATGGTGAACTCAAGGATGGTACCCTTGAAATGCCGAAAGGGAAGTCTCAAACTAATCAGTAAGCTACATACAATCGTCTTCTTATAGTATACATTAAACTTGAAGGTGCCTTGCAAGCTCCGCTTTCCAACTTTCATGGAGTACAATATTCTCAAACTAGATCAAATTGATTTCCCAAATAATGTCGATCCCAACAGAATACATTCAAAGTTACCACAGGGGTATACATTGTCCTTTTATAGAATAAACAAAATGAGCTTGTGTTATTTTCTGTCACACAAAGTCCCCCACCTAGACACAGGCTCCTCTTTGTCCTTGTAAATGTTTATGCGTCCCACAAATCTGGAAAAAAAGCGGGGAAAACCACATCAAATCAAGATGTCCAAGGCCATAAGGTTACATCTTTTTAAAAGGTCTGTGTAGGACGATCCATCTGCGAGGAAACACTCACTTGTATAGGTCAGGCTGTGGTTGTTCACATTCAATAGTGGCATGTAATGAATCCACCTCCTGCTCCGTTTTAAAGGCCATGGTATCTGGTACAGCGTAATAGGTCTGAGACAGAAAGGTGGCAAAAGGCAGGGGAGCAGAAAAAGAAGCAAGAGGAAAATGTCACAAGCACACCTACTATGACTAGATTTGTTTGGTGCCTTGGCAGACAGGTTCTCTATGTGACCTCACCATAATATGAAGGCTGCAAATGAGCTGTTACGAAACGCTTTCCTGGGTAAACAGAGTGACAATCAGCTAATGTGCTAAGGTCTTCAAGGTGTTCCTCTGAGGGCATCTATGGTTAAATAGGTGCTTTACTCTAACAGAGTGTATTGCTGCTGGCTTGGCATCACAATATGGATAATTTTTTTTACAATTTCACACACCGAAGACCATTGGTATGAAAGTGAGAGCATTTTCCTTGTCCTCACTTCCTGGGTTAAGGCATAGAAAGGTTTGAAAATGACTGAAATTCATGGAAGTCAATAGGAGTCAACACATGGTCAACTGTGCTTCCCATCCGCTACCAGCCTGATCAACAAGGCCAAGAGTCCCCAGTGACACCGACACTGCCTCTCTCCCTCCCCCGTTCAGGACCTAGAAGCAACGTAGCATCTCTAGACCTTCTGCATTACATTAACACACAGTCTACTGTGTATATAATATATGGCTATATACCATATATTGTATGTTCCATATTGTGTATAGCTATAGATTCTTTATTCTGTATACATATCGTTAGTGCAAACCTACTTGGCAATTTATCTGATTCTGATTGTTTTTCTGTACTTATAGCAAGACAAGAATGTGTGTGTGGTGGGAGGAGTGTTTGCACGCCTGTTAACACTTAGCATGGTGTGAGGTCTTAAAAGAATCAAGAACATCAAATTAAAAGTGAAAACAGGGTAATACAGGGGTCTGCAACCTTTAAAATCCAAAGAGCCATTTTCCCTGAGTCACACTAAGTTAAAGTAATTTAGAGCCGCAGATATTACATGAGATTTTCATAAAACACAACTTATTATTCTTTTTGAATATGTTTTTTTTATTATTATTTTGAGCTCTCCAAATAAGGAAAACATGAAAAGTTTCATAAAAATGAAGCAGGGATTTTCTTCTATAGGATATAATTTGATTAAAACAAAAACGCATAAATTCCAAAGTAACAACAAGAAAAATGTATCTAAAAAGGTATCTGGCTCTTTTGATTTCACCCTGTTATATAAAAAAAATCTATATCAAATAACTTAGTTGGTTTTAAATGTTGCTTTTATTTACTATTATTAGCCATTGTAGGGGGTCCAAATAACCAAATCCTGCTCTGGAGCCACAAGTTGCAGAGCTCTGAAATAAGAGATGAACCAATATGATGGCCAAGGATTTACTACCTAAAGCTACATTTTGATAGCCTGACGTAGTCCTACTCAATTCTAGTCAGAATATGAGTCTGATACTGCTCCATAGAGCTGTGATTATGGGGCGTGTTTTGAACGAACCAGGAAAAAAAATGCCTCTGCACTCAATTGGATAGACCTACAACCAATAAGAGCAACGGAGTGTGTGACGTATGTTAAGCGAGGCGTAGTTGTTGTGCACAAAAATCAAAGCGTGCAGTTTCACGCCTAGAATAAGAAGATGAGCCTTGATCGCGTTTCTCTGTTCCTCTTTTAAAATTAATTTGCTGTCGATATCTTCTAGAACAGACCTAATAGCAGAATCTACTCACCCAAACTCTCCAGCGGCAGCCATTATTGTTGTCACCCAAGCGCGCTTTGGTCACGTGGTTGATAACGTTACTCTTGATCATCTGTCCATCATCGTATAAAGCCCGCCCTGACAATTTGATTGGATCGCCTGACAGTGGGCTTTAATACTCGCGCTACTATGGAGCAGAGCCAGACCGAACTTCCCCGAACTCAAACCTTGTGGGCGGGACTAAGTTCGGACTGGCACCCAGGCTAACATTTTGATACAAATAAAAAAAATTACCTTTTATTACTAAAACTTGATTTTTGGGGGGGGGAATAACGCTGCTAATATCAAAGCTGTGTGCTTTGTTCAGATGAGATCAAAAATAACGTTTTGCCTACAAACCCTTCGACAGGCGGTTCTGATGCCGAACAAAAGAGTTAAAAAGCACAAGTTGACTGTTAAGATGCGGAGGATCCGCCTCTCTTCAAAAGCTCTGGGAAACCTTATTATAGTAAATGGCATCTTGGATACAATGAAGTACCAGGACATTAGAAATAATGCCAGAAAAAAAGACTCTTAGGGGGTCCTTCAAAAACATGATGAACCAAAACATACGGCCAGATCAAAACATTAACACCACTGTGGCAGAGGCTTGGCTTTGCATTTGGTTATGTAAGGCTTGGATATGGCTGCATGAAGCTCTCCATGGTCACCTCGAGTTCATCTAAAAGAGACATGAAGTTTGGAAGTCTAGACAGTTCAATTTTTAGAAAGGCCCACACTTTGCTTTTGCAGAGTCTATTATGACTGGCCTAAACACACAGATGGCATTCCATCATAATACCACAATAGCATTGCTTGTCACAGCAACTGATTTCTTTCTCTCAAATGTCTGTACAAGCTGTCTGGGTTTTATAGTCCTGTAACCATAGAAGGGATTGAAAAGCTTCAGACAGCAGACTTTAGTCAATTATAAGTGTCAGGTTTAAATCAGAACAATCTCTTAACAGGTTACATTCAGCTGCTTCTCTTCAACTACCTTTTAAAAAGGTAATGGAAGGTAAGTTCACCTTCTTACACCTTAACTCAGCCATAAAGTAAACGAAATAAATATGAGATGGCATCATTGATCCATATATATGAGTCCAAACTAGGGAACCAGGGACAACCGTCCCCCTTCCTGTCAGTAACAATAAAATCCAATATGCTAGCTAAACTAGGTGATCTTCATACATGCTAAAAACCTGCAATGCAGCAACAGAGTCGATTCCTTCCTGCTATCATCTCAACCCCCATCACTATGCAGTGGACCAAACCTCTCGCCTGGTCAGCCAAGCCAGCAGTTCCCCCAAACAACTCCCTTTTCAAAGGCATAGGCCAGTATTGGGTACTGCAAGCCAACAAAGCCCTCAACAACTCCCCATTACTAAGGGGTTGACATGTTCTTTCAGATCAATTTGCATGTTCTCTAACACGTCTTTGTTGGGCTATGCTATAAAGCCTGGAGCTCAACACTAGTCCAGACAATTTGAATTGAAAAAGCTTCCTGAATGGGAAGTGAAACGTCTTCAAACTTGAAAAAGAAAACATTTTTGGAATGACTATGACCTGGATGACTGAGAATCTTAACCAGCACATGCCTACAAGGGCTGGGAAAATTTACTGCATCTGCAATATAATCGCAATTTAAGAAAACCCAATTTTCAAATTGCATGGGCACTCAGTTTTAGTCATGTTGCATTTAACAACAGTAAGAGACACATTGTTTCTCACTCCAGCCCTTAAGGTGGTAATAATACGTTTAAAGTGGGTTTGCTTCCACGAAAAAAGACATACATCCAGCTAGCATGCAAATCTATGCATGCAATTACAGCAGAAGTAAGCACTTTTCCAAACAAAGATTACAATAAAGTCCTGCAACAATCTAGTCAAGACAAGCCAGTTTTCAAGGTAATAAAAAAAAACTGACAACCTAGGGTGAAACATCTCCATGCCTGTAGTTAGTGTATAGGAAAAGTGAAATAAAAACAGCAATGCTAACCAAAAAAAAAAAAAACGTAGTACTTGTTTAAGCCGTGTATGTTTGGGTTAAATTACAAAAACACTGACAACAGCATAACAAAAACAACTTTAAAAAGAAAAAAGTTTTTTCAATAAATCCCGGAGCACCTTTTGAATCGGATTCAATAATTTTATATTTGCAGGTGCAGCATGCACCCCTCTAGCTTGTTTATAGCTGGAGAAAAATGGCATGTTGCAAACATATCCTGTTGAAACTGTCTTACTTTCCCCCAGAATAAGAACTGTAAAGAAAAAATGATTTTTTTTTTTTTATTGTTTGAAAGAATGGGTTTTAAAATATCTAAATAAAACAATGTTTACAATGATCTAAAAATGGGTCCATTTTACACATTTGCATGAAAAGGTGCAAACATGGCTGTTTAATGCATAACATTTTTTTTTTTTGCTAACCATATATCGCAGATGGGAGGATTTGATTTGCATAATGCACATGGTCTGTGATGTAACCTGCCTAAGAACCATTTTATTTGTTTTTGTTTTTCCAAGTGGCAGAAATAAATTTCCGGCATTGCATAACAGTTGTATTTCTGTGTAAGCAGGCATGCAGCGTTGGCTTAAATTGTTACTTTACACTTAGACCTTTATGTTAAAGATCCACATTAAACTACACATGGTTTAAGTTATTTTAGATCACAACTTAAATCGGAGCTAAAAACAGAACATAGAACATCTGTCGTCTCTAATGAGCACCTTATGACTCGACTCCCCGTCGAGGCTGGTGGTGGTGACGTAGCAGGTGCCATCGTCTCGGCTGGAGGAGAGGAAGATGAGGTCACAGGGAAAAGTCTCGTCCTCTCTCACCATGACGATGTCGCCAACCTGGAAATGAGAGGAACAGCAGCTCAAGTATAAATATTAAAATAGATGCATCATGATTAGAAGAAAAAAAATGTGTGAAAAGAGAGCAGAGGAGACCTGTGGGTAACCATCTGCCTGTCTTTTGTTATTCCTTTTCATTTTTCAAAGGACTGAGAAGTTGCATAACGGATTATGCGAAGCAGAGCAGCTTAAACTCTAATAAATCCTGTCTCCACGGTGACCGTACACATAACAAACGCACTCAAATTTTATATGATTAATGTATTCATCATTATTCCTTCTCCCAAGGCAGCCTCTAATCCTCCTTGTTTGATCTATGGAAGAGAACAGAAAATGCTGGAGGACAGACAGACAGTCAGAGAGACCTTACTTAGAGAAAGATGATAGCTCCAATGATTGATAATACTTTACTTTTTTTAATATTAAAAGCAGTTGCACCTAATGCACAGAAATCTTAAGATAAACTACCGTAATGACAGGAGCAACTACAGTGCTGTGCAGCCCTTCATTGCTTGGCAACCGTAGTGAGGCTGTAAATTTTGAGCTGACCCTCTACATCTAACCCAGTCTCTGCACACTCACAGCGAGGAGCAGAGGCAGCAGAAACCAGACGTAGCGGCGCTCATTACCTACGTGCTGACAAAACGGTGCTACAAGTCTGAAATACGGCGGACTGAATCGATAGATCCGAGCAGGAGGTGATGAGCTAGATCAGTCACATTACACAGTCTGACACTGTTTTCATTAGGTCCTTAGGATTAGGATCATTAGGATGTCTTTATTGATAACAAGCGACTACAGTGTGTTATTTTTTAATGGCTTAAAAAAAAAAAAGAAAATTGACAAATCAACTCTGTTTTTAACTCCGTTCGATGTGATTCTAATTTCCGTTCAAAGAATAAAAAAATATGTTTTTTAATGGTCATTACTTTTTGTATTTTTTCTTTTTCCATATTTTGTGGTTCCATCCAAGAATTATAATTTATCTGCTTCCTATGTTTTTAAATCAAAATGACACTATGGTTACATAAGGAAAACAAAGACTCTCATAAAGGGTGCAAGAGTAAAAATATTTTTTTTTAGCAGTTTTAAAAAACTACACTTTGGCATGGCAGGGAAATGACCATATTTTTAAGGTTTCTAATAATGTGTGAATGGGGAGATCATAGTTAAAAAGCTGTCATGTAGATATATTAACAGAAACAGGACAGTAAAACCTGTTTTTAAAGAATCGTTCTTATTTGTGTTAATGGGCATGACCATGAATTTTTACTACCATTTTTAGAAGCATACACCTGGTCTAGGAATGGCTTCAGTCCATAATTATGGTCAAGAAATGCAGATTTTTGTCTTCTAATAGTTTCCCAAAAGCAGCTGGAAAAAACAGGAATTCCATGCTTATTATTGTTGTTTAAAAAAAGCCTTTGCATGGTGGACTTTACACTTTTATGTATTTATTACTGTATGTTATTCATTCCCATGTGTTTTATTGTATTTATTTTGTGTACATCACTTTGTGAAACAGTGATAATGGTCATCTTGCAATAACGAATTTAAATGTCAAATGATATTTGCAAATCCTAAATACTAAAGAATAGCTGCTTTGTTTTTTTATTATTACCGGTATTATTTTTGATACTGTTACTTTCAGAGACCATTAATAAATGTCGTTAGTATTCAAGTAAAAAGCATGTTTTTTCCTTTACACCCATGTCATGTCTCATGTAATATCAATTAGCATTGGTGACTGCATGATGCTGAGGAAATGCTTGGGCTTAAAGGGAAGAAAGACCCAGACAGAGTGCAAAATAATTGGTTAGGGGAAAGCTACCTTAAACATACAGCAGATCTGCAGTGGGATGTTTCAGATGAAAGCATTTGATATGTCAGAATGGTGTTGACTAAATATTTGCAAATCATAGTAGCTACAACAGCAGAAATAGCTGATTCCATAAAGTTTTTATTTGTTCGGAGAGATAAACTATACTTGCCACTTTTTTTTCGGATTTTCGAAAGATTAAACATTTTGAAAACCACAGCTTATTTTTCTTGACCTTCACCGTTCTGCACTTCTTATTGCTGTCATGGCACAGAAAATCTCAACAAAACTTATTAAAGTTGTAGCTGGAATAAGATCTACAAGATCTAGAGGTGTGAACAAGGTACTGTCCAATGAGAAAAAAGACCACATCACTAATCTGATCTGCTTTTCATAAAATGACAAGAAAACATAAGCCAGCAATGACAAGAACAGTACCAATTATAATATGCGTCAATAATGTTCCTCCCTGAGAGAATAAGGGAACCGAGTGTAACAGTTTCCCAGTCAATAATTGATCAGTAAGAGCATGGGGACCGAGAAAGCTGCAGAGAGGACAGCAAAGTGGCGATGGGAGTGACGGTTTTAGAAAGAGTGAGCAATGCAGCATTGCAGCAGTGTTGCTTTGTGGCCTCAGGTGCAGCGCTTGCCTAATGAGGCCATGCTTACCCGTAGTTTGTGACTTTGCGTCCTCGCCACATTCCCCTGCTGCACCACATCCACCGGACACTCGTTTATAGAGCAGTCAGCTTTGTGTCTGAGCCAGTCTTCATAGCCCTGACAGGGTGGCAGTGAGAAAGAGACAGCAAACAAGTTTTTTAAGATATACATATAGTAAAAAAAAAAAAAAAGGTGTTTGTACTAAATGTTGGTGCATCGGATGCAAAGAAAAAGGAGGGGGGAGGGTTAGACCCTGTAATTCATTAGTATTGAGTTCTGTTTGCTTACTGACCTGTTTTCTAGATTTTAAGGGTCTTAGATAAATGTCCTTTAAAGCTAAAAAGGCCTCATCTATCACTAATAATTCCCCATCTCTCGTGTTTGGAGATGTATCTCCCAGAGCCACGGAATCCTCCGCTCAACTGATTAACAGAATAGAACACTCATTATCATGTTTTTCACATCACCAGACTTATTCAATAGTATGCCCTCTCACCAGGAGAGGAATGTGTGTATACAGAAAATAGAGCAGCTGCAGGTTGGTAGAGAGAGTGTTTATTTGAGGCCAGTAGTTGTGGGGACAATATTTTCTAGAGATCAGAACATGCTTGTGTTCTTTTTACCTGTTTTATAGCAGTGACAGTGATAACAAAGAAGAGGGGCAGGCCACTGGTGACTGGGCTGGTGGGGGTGTCGATAATAAGCTGTGAAGAAAAAGGACAAAGGGGAGGAAGGGAGGAGGTTGAAGAAGGGACAATAGAAAGGGGAGGAGGGAAAGTATGAACAGCAGAGGATAGAAGATGTAGCTCATAAGGTTGCTGAAAGACTGTCAAACTTCGTGGCTTAGTTGGAGTGCATCCCTCTAAAGGGGAAAGTAGCCCTGATAATGAGCAGATTATAAAATAATAAAATTCAGATTGACTGAGAAAAAAAGAATCCATGTGGTGTGCTGAGCCACGCCCAGTTTCACCCATTAACATTGGGGTAGTATTTCACATGACTGCTAGAAACAAATGGCCTGAAGCAGTGGATGTAGGAAATGCTGTCTTTTTCTAGTTTATAAAGTCAGTTATTATTTTGAGATGGAAACTAGCAGCAAACAAAGAAAATGAATTCAGTATTAACTCAGTTTTGATATATAGCATTTTATCATATATGATATAATCATTCCCACTCAATGAAGGAGCCTAATGAAGTTTACAGAGTGTGCAGACTAATGCCTGGGTAATGCTCATGAAGCCAGATTACGTCATTTCGGCTTCAATGCTCTTCCACAGGCTGATTTCCAGCCATCGTGTACCCAGGAAAATTTGAAACTGCACGGACAGCTCAGCACAAAAAAGCCCCATGGTGGATGAACGATAGCTCCTACCGGTGAAGGTTTGCAAATCTAAAAATCTAGAGACGTATTATGACTTGACCAATTAATATTACTAAGATCAACTTTGTTAAGAACTTCATGAAAGAAATGAATTTCACTCTTGAATGACGCAAAGATATAAAGATAATAAAAATTTTGGAATCAATGAGGTTTTCTACTTCTACATGTTGTGTCGTAAGCTTATGCTCAGTGCCCTACACGTCCCCTTTGAGTGGACCATAATATTGGGTAGAGCAGAGAAAAGTCCTACAGATGCTGCAAACGTTGTGTTCTGCAATTCTGATTTCCGTGCAGAAAATCGCATTATTTAACGTTATTTATACATTTTTACTCATGCTAACAAATTTGATTTATTTTCTAAACAATAAATAATAATTAGTGATGATTAAAACGCTTCTAAAAATGGGTGAACTATGAACTTTATTGTAAATATCATTTTTTTTCATTTGTATTGTGGAAGAATACAATTAAATTGGGTTACTATGGGATGTTTAGTGACATTAATCATACTTATCGAAATGGAGTCCCATTTTAAATTTGTGGGTTTTTTTAAGAGTAGCATTTGTGATTGAAGAACAACTTCAAAGTATCAATAAAGATTGTTTTTATCGCCAATTGTATCGTTATCAGGAAAGCTCAACAAAATATGGTGATAAGATTTTAAGGCCATAATGAATATATGCATCAAGCATAACCCAGGCTAAAGGCTACCACTCACCCTTTGCATACTCAATGGCAAACTCAATGCCGACCTGCGCTAGCCAAGCCTGCTCAAAAATAGATTTTTTTCGGCTGCGTAACTTCCTATTATAAATTTTTTAAAGAGAGGAATTTTCACATTGGGTTCAATATGTGACACCCAGGTGCTAAGAGGCAACAGTAACGAGGAAACCATGCGTCAAATTTACTTTCTCCATAGCAGCGTGTGCTTTTGGAGCTGAAAAAAAAATTTTTATGCTCAGCACCCATCTAGCTTATCATACCTGCAACTATGGTGTTCCCTTCATTGTGCCTTTAGAGGAATGTGTTGAAAATGCAAAAATCTGTCCTAAAAATTCTAGGAAATTTGCACACTTTTTCTTCATTGGTTTACATAGCCCTTCGAGATATTTCATCTTTGGATCTGAGCACTCGCTTTTGTTTTTCCTTCTTCCTTCTACGCCATTGTTCTGTTCTTACACCAGATTCTTTCTTTCTGCTTGTGTTAGGATGGGATTAGCAGTAATTCACTCATCTTCTCCCTGACAACAAAACTCCCAAAAAGCTGAAAACACATGGCACGGGTTCAGATCAACTATACTAGACTCTGGAATAGTTAAAAGCGTTCCAAAGGTCTGGTGTGAAATTTGCCATAGGGGCATTGTAGCATGACTTTAGCCAACATTTTGCAACCAGCCTAGCTTAACTCACATGGCTCTATCCATCACATTGTATGGCTTTTTGCTTTGGAAAAAATATCTGCATCAAAGTTTTAGATTTGCTTTTATCAGCTTTAAGATAAAATTAGCCTCACTAATCTGATAGGGACAATAAATCCAACTCAGTTAATTTCCAGTTACCTCAGAGGATTTAGTTTGAATTATTTACAAACACAAAAGCTGACGGTGTTTCTGTTTTAACTGAAAACTTACCTGAACCAAAAAGATGAGCAAGAAGTAGAAGTTAGCGATTCTTCTGAACTGCTCAAACAAGTTCTTGGGAATGAAGTTCCAAAAGGTGTACTGTGGAGTTATGGGGAAAAAATGCATATATTGAGATATATCAAAGTATAAAACACAAACATCCTCTTTCCAAGGAAAACAAATCTAGAGCTTGACAAAAAAAGGGCTCTTTTTTGAAAGAGTGACAGAAGATATTACATGGTTGCCTGGATTTAAAAACTTAAAAAATGAATGACAGTAAACTAGCCAAGACCGAAGATCTCTCACCTTGGAGGAGACGATGCGGTTGTCAGGATAACGCTGAGGGATGTAAGCCTCGGCTCCTGGAGGGGGTTCTTTATGGCCGATATAAACTGTCCGGCTGTCCACCCAGATCTCCTCTCCTGTACACTGATGACAAAACAGAGAATGTAAGGATAAAAACAGCAAAAGATAAAAACTATTTATATTCCAGGGAATAAAATCAGCAAACACCAACCATAACATTCAATTAAGCAATACAGCACTATTGTGCTACGGTAACATTCCAAGAAGAATATCAGAATGGGCTAAGCTTGGGACAAAACGTTCTGAGTTATAAATGTTTAACAATAAATACTCCAGAAATGCTAACAGAAAAAACACAAAGCAAATTGTTCTTTTAAAATGTGGACAACATGATAATGGCATTTTCTAATATTTTTCGCAGACCAAAATATTAATACGATTGTCAATGTAATAATTTCAAGGGCACCTGCATAAAATTGTTTTTAATAAAAAAAAAAAAAAAAATCTGCCATTCAGCGGACTCTAGCATTGCTTATTGCCTGAGAGAGAAAATGGGAGTGACGTATACGGTAGGACGACTTAGAGTTGGAAAAAGTTATGTACAGTTTTCATTAAAAACGGACATGGTCAGGATTTTGGGAGCAGAGAGCCGATCACAAAAATCTGTTTCTGCCAATCGCTGATTACCAATCACAGCATCAAATCCATAAATTCTTCAACTGTTGTGTCATGTACATTCAAATTGTATAACTAGGTATTAGAATTATAGCAGATGAGAAAGTATCATTAATCGACCACTGTTTTAGTGAAGACAGCAGTGCAAAGAAGCTTTTTTAAAACCAAAATGAAAGAAAGAAAATCACGTTGACGGCTGGTGAAGATGAAGTATAAAAAGATTGTTCTAATAGGTAGGACCTGAGCATCGTCTCATGGGGTTCCTCCTCATTTTGATTCCATGTTACATTACATTAAATAGTGCTTAAGTGATAGGTGGCAGGTCCTTTTGAATATCTGTTAAAGAAGTCTGTAATGCCGCAAGTGTAAGGACGGATAAAGTTTCGATGTATTTAATGGGTTGTGAGGTGAAATGGATGGTAGCACTCATAAAGGGAACTCTATGACTAAAAGGACATCTATGTGTCTGTCTGAGAACAATCTATCTAACTGATAAAGTAATTTTTTTTTTATTGCTCGCATAAAGCTAGGACAAATCTCTCTTGACAAAAGCAGGAAATAAAACAACATGATTGGCTTTAAGTAGGGCAGTGACTGTGGACACTGATTTTATCAAGGAAAACCTGTTACCGCTCGCTCTAATGCCGATTTCTTTGTTTTATTTGGCAAAACGTACATTTGATTTGTGTGCATCTGACTGTGCTAATTATTATTCCCCCCAAAAATGAAAAAAGTAAGAATGTATTATTATCTACAGACTAGGGCTGCAACTAACAATTATTTTGCAAATTTATTAAGCTGTCAATATTTTTGTTCTATTAATGGATTAATAATCGGATACCCAAAGGTTCCTCAAAGAAGACTTTTTGCGAAATTCTACCAGGTGAAACTAAAATTTGTCCACATGAGGGGTTCCGGATAAAGTATATTGACAGACAAACCTTTTTAATCTTAAATGCAAAATGTTTATATAATTTTGATTTATTTTGTTTTACAATTTTTGTATAATTGCTGCTCAAGGTGGATTGCTCTGCCACCAAATGGCTCATTTTAGTCTCTAAACCCCAGTTGATCAATCAATTACTAAATTAGTTACTGATTATTTCAATAACCGATTAATCCGATTAATTGTTTCAGCCTAACTAGAAACTATTAATAACAGGATTTGAAATGCAAGTCCAGACGAGCCGAGCGTGTGGTGACGTCACAAGTACGCTTCTTTTCCAAATGCCCAATATCTATATCGGTGCTCACATTCTCCCCGAGTCCATATTTTCCTATGTTCTTCTTAAGAACATACTTGGCGAGAACACTAGTCCGTATTCTTGTGAACTGAGAAATGGCCTAGATGTGCTAAAACAACCATCAGTGTTTCCAACTATTTCTATCAGAATGTTCAGCTAGTTCCAAAAGCGTTCTCCCTCTGACTTTTTTTCAAGCTACTAATCATATTGCTGCCGTGGCACTACTAAATTTAGGATATTCTTGTTAAAAATAAGCCCGTTCGATTCATAATAACTCAGAACCACCAGGTATTTCCAGCTGCATGATTTTAATGCAGAGTTACATAAAATCAATATCGCATTGTCATCAACACATTAAATATCTTAAGCAATGATGTTTTATAATAGTGCAGTGATGTCCTCAGCCCAAATGAAATAAGCTTTACATTTTGATCCTGTTTGATGTGTTTTGAATGTTGCTTTTGAGGCTACTGCTGCATCTTTGTTAAACAGTTGGTGAAATGCTCACAGTCACAGGTTTGAACCTACCCACTGTTTATCAACAGGAACTTTGCTATGAGGTAAAAATAGCAATGAAGCCAACACTGTAAGCCGAGTTAAGACCCCTCCAAAGCATTAGTGGCGGCAACATGACCCCTGCAGATACTGTGAAATGAAAACTGACGGCTGAGCACAGCAAGCAACCAGAGCAGTAAAAGGAAAACTGTTTACTATGAGAGTGAAAAGAACAGATTAGGACAACCCAAAAACAATCCAGAAAGGCAACAAGATGAAAAAGCAGAAGAAGAAAACCAAACCTATGGTATTTTGCAAATATATCTAAACCTATGAACATTTGCTTATTACAGCTTGAGGGGAGATAGTTTGCTGTCTTACAGGATATATTGTACAAATATAGCCTTTATTGCGGGAAAAAGATAATTTTGAAAGAAAGTCATAAGAAGGCAGCTAGCAGTTAGACACAATTGATGTAGGGAATGCAGTTACATATTAAGTAATTTTCTTTTATATAAAAAAAGGGTGTTTTTACATAACATTAAAAGGAAAATGTTTTGTGTAATAAAAAAACTGCTACACTAGGAACACAGCACCAACATGATGAAACATGGCAGTGGAAGTATCATGTTGGATAAGTATTTAATTTCAAATGTCAAAGTGGTTTGTTTGGATTTTAGCAGGAAAAACAAACAGCCTGAAGTTCTCAGGAGATAGTAGTACAAACATAAAGTAAGAATCTGTTACCATTTGATCACTGCTGCACTTTAAGAAATGGAAATGTGATGAGAGCTGTACAAAATGAAATTTCGTTTTATATGCACTCTGTGTATACATAATGACAATAACTTAAGTCATTATTTCTTTTGCATAAAGTCAAATGGAAATGATTAAAATCTGGAGGAAATGCTTTAAAAAACTGAAGCGTAAAGCATTTCTAGTATTGACCTAGCAGAGTTGAATAAACATCTACGCTACTTTTCTCAGATTTCCTTTTTAAAACAATTAGAAAAAACATTTTCACCTGATTGCACAATTATCCAATAATTAACAGAATTTCAAACAAGCAAAATTCTGACAAAAATACACTAAACATTGTTGTTTTAATGTGACATTTGAAAATGTTGGTAGAAAAAAAGGGATTTATTTTTTTTGAAAGATGTGTATTATTCCTTAGCCTTAACATTTCTATCCTTAACATTCACATCTTCATTTTTCCCCTTCACCTCCTTCTATTTCTGTCTGCACAGCTCTCTGCCTTTGCTACCACCATCTCCTGGCAGTGGATGTCACGCCACGACAGAGAGGAACTGCAGGACAGGGATTGAGAAAGACAGAGAGACTGCATTGTGGGTTTTAGTTATTTAGTCATTAATTCCCACTGATCTGGATCAGCCCTCATCCCATGTTCCCCTCTCTACCTCAGGGCTCCATCAGGCAAATTGGCTTCCTGCTTGGCTGCAGGACATGAGAGCTTTGTCTTTATCACCAAAATGGGTTGATTTTACATCAGTATCAATCATCAGCAGTGACACGTTGTCTGTGATAACAGTCCAGCATCTCACTACTGCAGCTTCCTTGCTGTTCTGGGACATAGCTCTCTTTAGCTGTTTGAACAGTGGATTTATAAAGAAAAAGCCACGGGAAGCCTGCTATTTAAAGATTCACGGATGTAGCTATAAAAAGCTGAGTATTTCTAAATCTAGCCTGGTCTTTATTTTGTCTGAACTCCTTCCTGTCACATAAATGTAATAAATGATATCCACCATTAACTGGCCTGATTAAGCCATCGTATCATGGACTTCCTCCACAGTTCTGCTATAGAAGAGCACAGCAGGCTGAACACAGATCCCTCATTAACCAACAGATCAAATCTCTCTAACTAAGCTTTAATGGACTCCTCGTGTTAACACGAGATGCTTGAACATTGACAAACGGCTATACAGGACGGCTTAGCACCACCCTTGATCTTAGTTTAGCTCATCAATTTAGCCATCACTTTGCGTGTAAAATATAGCAAATTAATTACATTTGATTTTGGAGCAGAACTACCTAATTTTCTAAACTCGCGAGTCTCCACAAGGTCAGGGGAACCAACTAATACAGTTACTTCCATATTCGATCACATTTTTTCCTGATAAAATCCGACTTTTTGAGGATTATCTGAAGTGATGACTTTGTGGTACATAATAAATTCCAAAGTCTGGATTAAATTGGAGATATACAATTTAAGGTTAAGATTCTATATCTCAACAGTCTGTTATTTAAAGATAATACTAACTAGATGTTTAAGCACTCAATAAGGATGAAAACATGTTAACAGCTGTTGTTAGATGTAGATTTAAACCAGAAACCAAATCCATTTCAAATAAATAATATCTGGTTTAAGCTTTAATAAAAAAACAAAAAAAAACAATAAAATTAGCACTAGTAAAAAGAAAAAAAAGAACCGACAATTCATAAAAAAATAAAAATAAATAAATAAAGGATCAGCTATAAGTTTACCCCAATAAACTATATTAGGGTTAATATATCAGAAGATTATTATTTTTTGTTTTGGTGATAGAAGAATAAATGTGTTGTTATGCTAAAAAATGCATGAACTCTCATTATCACAGAATGAATAAATGTTAAATTAAACATTTGAAATGTTACAAAGGTTTACACATGGTGATTTTTTTTTTTGGTACAAACAAGAAGAGGGTGAGC